TTTACCTCACCTGGTGAATTCCTTCTGTTGGGGTTTATGGGGTTGTAGTCCTTGTTATCTCTTTCTAGAATGTCCTTCAAAACATTTTGGAGTGCTGGTTTGGTGGTCATAAATTTCTTCAGATGTTTTTTTATGGTGGAAGTATCTTATTTCTCTATCAATTTTGGAAGTTAGTTTTCCAAGGTGCATCAGTCTGGGTTGAAGGTTGTTTTTGTTTAGAGCTTGAAATACTTCACTCCAAGCTCTCCTTGACTTGGGAGCACTCGGAAAGTTTTACAGCTGAGCCTTGGGCAAGGTCAAGAGCATCCAGGGAACCCTGTTAGGCTTATTCTTGTCTTCCCCATGGATAACACAGTCCTATTTCCTGTGCTGCTGCTTAGGAATCTACTAAGTGTAGAGGTGTCACTTTTAATGACACTTTCTGTATACTTTTAGTTTTACCACTCTGAAATATTCAGTAAGTGAGTTCTATAGAAATTGCATAGAAATGCATTCTACTGTAGCAGAAAATGCTCCCTATCCAGTATATTTCAGTTTGTAAGTTGCCCAGGTAACAGTTCCTGTTCCAGATCCAGTTGATCCTGTCTCTTAGAAATGCCTGGTCACTGTGATGCAGAGCTGGTTATTAGATACCCACTGTGTAAGCCAATCCCCAGTTGAAAAGCCATTCTGCCTCTGCACTTCCAAAAGCTTGCTTATCTCATATAAGCTCCAGACCACCAGAGATCAGAGCCTGGTATTTTGGGTGTGACCCCAGTCAGTGCCTGTCAAGATAAACAGATCTGCCTGCTGCTTGTTGTTTCGGTGTTTCTGCTTACCATTGCAGCTGGTGCATTGGCCAGGAAGACCAACCATGCTGAGCTCTTTGTTCACTGTCCATGGCCCTTGCGGGTGGAGCAAAGTCCTCTCCAGGTCCAGATGGGAAGGTGCACCCTCGTGATGCCTGGAGTCCCCTTGGAGATCTGGAGGAAGATTCCTTGCTCCTACTGCAGTGGCCTACAGTCTGTCTGTGTGCCCACCTGCCAGATTTTAGTAAGACCCCAGTTAATCTGTCAGTCCTGCTCAGTTTGAGCAGAAGAAGAGCTTGATAAACTCTTGTTGGTTAAGGCCACCCTCAAGGGAAGGGGTTTGGAATGTGTAACCGCTGAGTGCCTGCGGAATGTTGTGTGTGTAAGTGGGCCCCACAGCGTGAACAGTAGGCTGCTCCGTCTGTGCACCAAGACCAGGAGTCGCTGGTCCCCGTGGCTGGTTGGGCCCTCGTCAGCGGTTCCACGGTGATCCACATATGGCATAACAGAGGTTTCGCACCCTCCTTAGCTAAGTCACGCCTACGTCTCTGAGGTGTGTGGCCCGGTGGGCGTGTGAGTGGCCTCTCTCTGAGGGGCGCCCACTCCTTGTCTGCTGCATTGTCATTCAAGGGTACACAGCATACACTGTAAGGAGATAGAGTGGAACTAATTAGCTAAAACCCACCGTCCCTGCCTGCACAAAAAGTGCTTTCATGGAATTAAAAATGGAATCAAACCACTTCTCCATCTCAAAGTGAAGAAAGAGGCTCACTCTTCCTGAGAATTGTGCCTTGCGCCCTCGTAGGCTGCTGTGCTTCCGCCCCCTCCTCCCTACTTGTCTGCTTCCAGCCAGTTGAACCAGCTCCATTGCATTGCTTCCCTTTGGCCACAGGGCCCCCCTGGAGACATGTCTGTCCTGGTCACGTAGCCTCACCAGAGAGGGCTGTCAGCAGCTCCTTCTGAGTTCCACATTTTGACTGAGGAAAATTGGACGGTCAGCCCTGACAAATGAGTTGCTCCCTGGCAGGTGTAAATAGATAGGACAGACTGAGTTCAATCAAGTTGGGCCACCAAGAGCCTGTGGTCATTGCAGAAGTCGGGGGCAAACCTGTGACTCTCCTGGCAGACCTCAAAGAGGGAGGCAGGAAGCCAATAAATATATGTGAAGTTACCAGAATTACCCAGTGGAGCCCCCACTGAAAAAAAGTTCTGTCAAAACAGATCCTGTGAGATTGATGGACACTTTATCAAACATGAACTCCTGTACATGCTTGAGTGCCCTTTACCTCTCCTGGGATGTGACCAGCCTCCCTCACACTTGGGTGCACTGTCCCAGACTTGATACTGAGTCTGATTGTGTCCTTGGAGTAAGAATATTCCCTACATTTGCCTGAAATGCCTGATAATCATAACCCTGAAATTTTGAGGGACTTGTTTTGAGAAGTATGGACAAAGGACTCACCCCACCCCCAGGGCTTGCTGTCAGTCATGCCCCTTTGATGCATGATTGAACTCTGTCCCAAGGCAGCCCCCACGTGCATCAAACAGTGCCCCTCTCCTGCCTGTAAAGGCTGCTCAAGATCTCCCAGCTGCAGATGGCACCGCAGTTACCCTCCGTGTGCATTGCCTCCGTCTTCTGGCACCCACAGCTTACTGGTAAACCTGTCTGGACCTAAGAAGGATGTGTTCTTCTGCTTTTGCTAGGATCCTGTCGGTCAGCCCCTCTTTACTTTCAAGTGGAAAGACCCCAGTTCTGAACTCAAAATCCAACTGATGTGGGACTCGGCCCTCCAGAGGTTCAAAGAATTGTTTCTCCTCTGAAGAAGCCCTTCTGATTAATGACACTCAAGCTGCCTGCTGCAAAGACAAAAAGCCCTGCTGCAGTACTCATGCTGCCCGTCCAGGCATGAGGAAAGCCTGAGGGTGCAGTTCGCAGGGTTCCTCTGTGCCTGTTCCCCTTGACTTTCGTGTCTTTGCCGTGTCTTTGCCGGCTGCTCGCCCCCGTCCTTCTTCCTTGCCCCCTGCTAGCGTGGGTTTTGTTAATTGACCTGGATTCTGCTTATCCCAGTTCTTGCATTCCTGCCCCCTGCTGTCTGCCCCCTGTCGGCTGTGTTGTTGTTTGTTTGGGGTTTTTTTTTTGCCTTAAACTCTATGGAGGGTTGCCCCAAGAGAAGAGAACAATCAATCAAACACTTGACCAAGATTTCATGAGCGCCCAGGACACACTGGACACTCGCCTCGATCAATTTAACCCCCTCACTACCTTGCCAGGTAATGCTGCACAGCAGAAAGCCTTTAATTCTGGTTGGGCCTTGTCTCAGAAGGTCACATGTAGCATGCCCAGGAAAGATTGGCCAGGGAAACCAGAAGAGGTGGGGAAATGTAGCAGAACATGCCCCCGCCCCAGGATACGTCAGTTTCTTAGTTGCCCAGGTAACAGTTTCTGTTGCAGACCCGGTTGCTCCTGTCTCTTAGAAATGCCTGGTCACTGTGATGCAGAGCTGGTTATTAGATACCCACTGTATAAACCAATCCCCAGCAGACGAGCCTTTCTGCCTTGTACTTCGTGCTTGCTTATCTCATAGAAGACCCTGGCCACCAGACATCAGAGGGATATTTTGGGGGTGATCCTCATCAGTGCCTCTCAATGGAAATAAATCTGCCTCCAAATCCTCGTTTTTCTTGCGGTTTTGGGGTGATGTTGCCTCCTGTGTTTCCTTTGTCTGCTGTTTTGTCCAGGCTGGTATTTCTGTCAGGGCAAAGTGGTTTCGTCTCAGTTCTTGTAGCCAGATGGCTTATTTCTTCATACATGTGAGAGGAATCACATTTCTGTTCAGAAACAGTGCTTGTATTTTCTGGAATTGGAGTAACTCAGTGGTGTGTGTTTTGGAGCACGCCAAGGCAGAGGCTACGGCTGTGGCCTGTGCCACTGGAGCCTTCATCTTCTGCTAGGTCTGCTTGCTAGCTGTGCCTTCCCGCAATTCCACTTCCTTTGCCTGGGTCCTCAGACTAGCTCATGGGTCTTGTTTTCTGTTTGGTTTTTTTCTCTTGTTTCTATGTATTTCTTATGTGTTCATTCTTTACTTGGTGTACAGGTTCTTTTTGCATACACTGTGGGTGTTTTGGTTTTTTGGTTTTTGTGTTTTTGGGATTTTTTTTTTTTTTTTTTGTCATTTTGTGATTCTTCCACCCGCCGGGATTTCCACTGATTTCCATTTCTCCCTGTAATTCTGACAGCGTTTCTTCTGGGGAAACACTTTTTTTTTTTTTTTTACTTTCAAAATATATTTCACTGTGAATTCTCAGTGTACAAGCTTCTCTTTCCCTTTTCAAGAGGTAATTTAATTATCACACAAGGCAGATGAAGACTAAAATACGTTTCTCCCTGCCTGCTGTAATCAACACATTGTGATTTGTGCCCCTTTGTGCTATAAGAGCTCTATCATGAGTCAATATTCTTCTGTGGCTTGTATCTATGTCTGTGTCTCGCAAAGCCTCATGCACTCCTGGTGTGCCTTTAACACATGGCAGGCTGTACATACGATGCTGGGATTTGATTGGTGCTGCACTGCTAGGATTAGGAGTGAGAGTGCTGCCGCCATGGGTAAAACGTCAGGGGCAGTAAGGGGTTGCTGTTGTCACTCACTGCGTGCTGCTTGCTGCTTTGCTGCCTTCTGCCTGCCGTGGCTGTGTGTCCTCTGTGATGCCCCTCTGCCACGCCACCCAGCCTTGGAGCCACCGTGTGCCGAAATCTCTACAACTCTGAGCCTAAGCAACCCTTTCCTCCCTTGACTTGGGTGTTGGGTTTTTGTCTCAGCGGTGAGAAAACCTGAGACATATCCTGTTACATGTGACCCCACTGAAGATCCTCTTCCTTCTCTGTCGTCTGCCTGTCCTTCTCTCTACTCACGGAGCAGCACACTTCAGAGTGGACTTTGAAACTCTGCCCCTTAAAGAAGCTGGCACGTTTGCCAGGTATATTTGGTGCTGAGAAGATTTTTTTTTTTCATTTTTGCTTTCATTATCAATGCCTGCTAAGTTTCCAGAGTAGAGGAGATCAGTCCATTTCCTGTATTTTCATCATGTGCACCCCTCCATTCCTCTGCCTTATGCCACTTTTCAGATCCCCAAGCCACGTGATAACATGGATTCTGTAATCTAATTTCACAGTTCTTAGACATTCTCCAATAAAACTGTAATTGTTTTCCTCAGCTTCCCAAATTAGCATTGATAACTTTTGCTTCGCGTTCAGTTAAGGCTGTGTCAGTGAAAGCAGGTGGAAATTTCAAAGTGCTACCTAATAAAATCATAAGGAAAATCAATTCTCTAAGTAACAAGGTGAGGAAAAAAATGATATTTTCTTTGATCCCTCAGAGTAATTCATCGGGTATTTTTTTGTTTGTTTGTTTTTTGTTTTTTTTTTGTTTTTGCTCTGGTACCGGGAACCAAACTCACGACCTTGCGCTTGCCAGGCAGGCGCTTTGCCGCTGAGCTAAATCCCCAGCCCTTCATCAGGTATTTTTAATTACTTTTTTTCACTTGGATTCTAATTGGTGGGCTTCTTCTGTGACCCGTGCTTTAGTGCCTTTGTACAAGTAAACCTGGGTTTCGCCAGCAGGAGAAGCACAGTTCCCATTCTGCTGCTGCGTTAGCCTGAATTCCAGTGTAGCATCAACTTCCTGTGTGACAAGTGCCAGTGGATGGAGCGTAAGTGACGACCAAGACATGAAGTAGACATTTGGAAAACTCAGCATCATACGAGCTTTTTATGAGTAGAATTGAGATGTTTTGTGTCATGACTCTCACTCTTCTTCCTGGAAATACCTGTCTGGTGATGTAGGAGGCCGTGACCTTCCAGGATGTGGCTGTGAACTTCTCCAGGGAGGAGTGGGCTTTGCTGGATCCATCCCAGAAGAAGCTCTACAGAGACGTGATGTGGGAAACCTTTAGGAACCTGGCTGCCGTGGGTAAGGACGATGCCGCTTTCTCGTGGATGTAGCTGGAGAGCGCTGATCGCTGCTCCCCCGTGCAGATTACTTCAGGGGGAGATGGAAGCATTAAATGTAAGGCATCTTCCAGGCCATCTTCCGTGGTCGCACTGTACTGTGAATCTGTCTGGATCTACTTGTCTGTATATATGAAGTTATCATTATTTTTCTGTTTCTACACTTTAGTAAAGAACTCAGATTACCGGCAAATTGAAGATAACTACAGAAGTTTCAGGAAAAATCTAAGGTAATTTGTACTCAGAGAAGAAAAAACATCTAAGGTAATTTGTACTCAGAGAACATGAATCTTAAGCAAACTATACAAAGAGGACCATGTTAAACTTTTAAATCTCACAAAATTTCTCCCTAGACACATTCACGTTGAATATCTCTAACCTGACAATTGAGAGTTTGAAATATTCCAATATCTACAATGTTGGTGGTACTCATATTATGCCAGAGCTGACATCTTTGAGGTAATGAACAAGAACAAACAGCTCGATGAGTTGGGACCCACCTATAATCCCAGCACTTTGGAGGCTGAGGCAGGAAAATTGCCTCAATTTCCAGGATGGACTAGGCCACATAGTTACTTGAAAGCCAGCCTCGAATATGGATTGACACCATGTCTGAAATTTTTTTAAAAGTGCAAATTTTCCATGCTCAGATTTATTCCCTTGTTGAATGAAATTGCATTCAGGCTTTAAGGACAGGAAGATATAAAAGAAATTTTATGTATACAGTCAGAGCTAACTTCTAATTATATGTACATGGTTTTAAAACTTCACTTTCATGTCAAATTATATATATTACATATACTTAAATGTGATATACACATTCAGGGTTTAAAAAAAATTTTAGTATATGTGCTGCTGAAGCGAGCACTAAAAAATTTTTTTTTTCTTTTTGAGACAGTGTCTCACTGGGCAGTTCAGGCTGGCCTTTAGCTTACCTTGTAGCTGGTCTTGAACTCACAACAATCACCCTGCCTCAGCCTCCTGAGTGCTGGGATTACAGGCCTGCACCACAATGCCTGGCTCTAAAAATTGTTAATGTTACTAATGTACTCAAAATTGAAATGAATACCACTGTTTTGTTTTGTTTTGTTTTGTTTTGTTTTGTCTTTTTGAGACAGGGTCTTGCTATGCAGTTCAGGCTGACCTTGAGCTCACTTTGTAGCCCAGGCTGGTCTCGAACTCGCAACGATCCTCCTGCCTCAGCCTCCCAAGTGCGGGGATTACAGGTGTGCACCACCACGCCTAGCAATACCACTGTTTTGATCACATTTATTTTCAAGCAGTCCTCCAAACCCACAGTCCATTCATATTCCAGAATATTCAAAGGTGCATCACCATGTTTTTGGTGGAACTGTCAGTGTGCTATATAACATCTATAGAAGTGAGTATAGAGATTCCAGAGAAAAGAAAAAATAGGCATTCTGTTTTATCCAATTATGGTGGGTTTTTTTGACACAGGATCTTACAATGTAGCCCAGGCTGGTTTCAAACTCACAGTGATACTCCTGCCTCAGCCTCCTGAATGCTGGGATTTCATGCATGTACTACCACCCCTGGCCATATGCAGCTATACTTTTATCACACATATTGCCCACAGTGTTAAAGTAATCATATTACAGTGGTGCTTAAATACCCATTTGTAGCAGCACAACTTAGAAAAGGTGAGCTCTGGAAAAAGCCCAAATGCCCACTCACAGGTGAGTTGATCAGGGGCATATGGGATAGCCTGGGCATAAAGGGGATAAAGGGGCGTGCTGGGCATCCTAGCACTCTAGGAGGGTGAAGCAGGACGGTCATGCATTCATGCTTAATGATTGATGAGACCCTTTCAAAATAAAATAAAAAGCATGTGTATGTATCTCAGTGCCAAAACCCTGGGTTCAGTTTCCAGGGCTGAAAGACCTGTAGTGTGTGCACATACTGGCGTAGTCCTCATCCTTAAAAGAATGAAGTGATGGCATTTCCCAAAATGTGGGAATAGAGCCCATAATGTTCAATGAAATAAACCGGAGAGAAATTTCAGAATCACAAGGTATATTTTGCGTGAGAATCCCACAACCTGAATGAAGGAGTAAATAGAGGAAAGATGGTGGGACGAGAGAGGCAGACCTCTGGCGTGGGTGAGGAGGCTCAGCAGAAGGGGACGGATGCAGTCATGCAGGAAAAGGGGTCAAAACTCATCAACACATGGAACCTGTTTCATCAGGATGTGTTCCAGATCCTCAAAATGAAAACAAGTATTGTGTATTGCAGACCAGTTGATTAGAAACTCCCTCACGAATCCTACAATTTGGGTAAACCTGGGTCCAAGCGATTGTGCAGAGTGTAGAGTAAGAGGATGATGAAATATTCTTGGGGGCATCAAAGCAGATCTCCTCACAGTCAATCATCACTGAAAGACACTCTTAAATGTGATTGGTTGTTTCATTTCTCTCCCCTTTTACAGAAGTGAAGAGGTGGAGCAGTCCTGTGAATATAAATTATGGGATCAACATGGAGGAATGGTTTCTCAGATTCCAGATCCAGATGTGCACATGACCGTTCTTGGTATAAAACCCGGTGACAGCCTTTCCCCTAGAACGCCTCTGCTTGGTCCTTCATCAGCAGATCAGCTCATCAAGACTAACACTGCACTCAAACCACATGAGCAGCAGGGGTTTCAAGAGAAGCTGTCTACTTGTAACAAACATGGCAAAGCCTGCACAGAACTGCAGTCCTTTCAGAAACATGCAAAGACAAGTGCTGGGGAGAAACTCCAAGAATACGCGCCATGTGTGAAATCCTCCTCTGATTGCGCTGAAGAAAGTACCATTGAAGAGAAGCCAGACGTCAACTCATTCCTTACACCCAGCGATAGTCAAGTCAGGGAAAGATGTCACAATGAACTGACTATGAATATCTGCGCACCATGGCAAAAAGACTTTAATTCTCATCATGACAGTCAATCGCATGAAAAAGCTCACTCTGGAGAGAAAACTCATGTAGGTAAACAGTATGGAAATCGCTTCACCAACAATTCGTTGGGTAATCATGCAAGAAGTTACAAAGGGCAGAAATTCTATGTATGTAAGCAGTGTGGGAAAGCTTTCAACAGAAAAGATAATTGGCAAAGGCATGAACGGACTCACACTGGGGAGAAGGCCTATGTGTGTAACCAGTGTGGGAAAGCTTTCAGCAGACGTGGTGTTTGTCAGAGTCATGAACGGACTCATAGTAGGGAGAAATTCCATGTATGTAAGCAGTGTGGCAGAGCTTTCAACACACACAGTAAATGTAAAGTACACGAGCTGACTCACACTAGGGAGAAATCCTATCTGTGTAAGCAGTGTGGGAAAGCTTTCAGCAGAAAAGGGGATTGCCAAAGGCACGAACAGACTCACACTGGGGAGAAACCCTATGTGTGCAAGCAATGTGGGAAAGCGTTCAGCAGAAAATACCATTGGCAAATGCATCAGCGTACTCACACTGGGGAGAAACCCTATGTGTGTAAACAGTGTGGGCAAGCCTTCAGCAGGAAACACCACTGGCAGATGCATGAATGGACTCACACTGGGAAGAAACCCTATGTGTGCACGCACTGTGGGAAAGCCTTCAGCACACATTGTAAGTGCCAAATACATGAAAGGACTCACACGGGGGAGAAGCCCTATGCGTGTAAGCAGTGTGGGAAAGCCTTCAGCACAAGGACTGTTTGTCAGAATCACGAACGGACTCACACTGGGGAGAAACCTTACGTATGTACACAATGTGGAAAAGCTTTCAGCAGCAAAGCAAGTTGGCAAGTACATGAACGGACCCACACTGGGGAGAAGCCGTATGTATGTCAGCAGTGTGGGAAAGCTTTTAGATCACACAGAACTTGCCAGAGTCATGTACGGACGCACGCGGGGATGAATCCCCACGTGTGTCAGCAGTGTGGGAAAGCCTTCAGCAGCAAAGCAGCTTGGCAAGTACATGAAAGGATTCACACTGGGACGAAACCGTATTCATGTACGCAGTGTGGGAGAGCCTTCAGCACCAAAGCGGTTTTGCAAATACATGAGCGGACTCACACTGGGGAGAAGCCCTATGCGTGTAAGCACTGTGGCAAAGCCTTCGGCACAAGTGCTGTTTGTCAGTATCACGAGTGGACGCATACGAGGAAGAAGCCCTACGTATGTACAGAATGTGGGAAGGCTTTCATGACCTATTACCGTTGTCAGGTCCATGAAAGAGTTCACACTGGGGAGAAGCCCTATGCATGCAAGGAATGTGGGAAAGCTTTCAGCACGCGTGATGCTTGTCAAACTCACGAGCAGATTCACACTGGGGAGAAACCCTATGTATGTGAGCAGTGTGGGAAAGCCTTCACCAGGAAAGATAACTGGCAGCTGCATGAACGGATTCACACTGGGGAGAAACCTTACGTGTGTAACCAGTGCGGCAAAGCTTTCCGCAGGAAACACCATTGGCAAATGCACGAGCGGATTCACACTGGAGAGAAACCCTACGTGTGTGTAAAGTGTGGGAAAGCCTTCAGCAGGAAACATCACTGGCAAGTGCACGAATGGACTCACAGTGGGGAGAAGCCTTACGCACGTAAACAGTGAGGAAAAGCCTTCAGCACAGGCAGTGGTTGTCAAACTCATGAATGGACTCACTGGGGAAAACCCCCATGTATGTACCAATATGGGAAAGCCTGTGTCACAGATTTAGAACCATGTACGAACTCACTGGGGAGAAAATCTATATATGTAACCAGTGCGGAAAAGCTTTCAGCAGACAATATTATTGTCAACTATGTGAAAGAACTCATACAGGCACCCTCTGTATGTCAGCATTGTGGGAAAAGCTTTCCGCAGACAACGTAATTGAGAAGAACATGAAAAGACCCACAGTGGAGATAAACAGTGTACGCCAGCAGAGTGGGAAAGCTTTGAGATCACACAGATTGTCAGCATGGACAGACTCACACAGGGGACAAACAGTGTGTAGTGTGAAAGCCTTTAGCACACACACAGATTATCAAGAACATAAAAAGACTCACACTCCGGGAGAAATCCTGTGCGTGTAAATGTGGGAAAACTCACCACACCTGTGTTTGTCAGAGAAATAACTTGCACTGGGGGGTAAAACGATGTGTGTGAGCAGTGTGGGAAAGCTTTGAGCTCTGTGGTCATTGTCAGAAACGTAAAGGGACGTACTGTGGAAGTGCTGTGTATGTAAGTGATGTCTGAGTGCACTCACTACACAGGTCCTGTCGCGTACACGAAATAAGCAACCCCGGGTAGGAAGTGTGTAGCAGCAGTAATGAAAGCCTCTGCGGTGGGCAGCGAGCACCGGAAGAGGAGAGAGTGCAATAACAATGTATGAAGTGACTCAGGCCGGGGGCAGACCGAGGAGAACCTTTTCTTCTGAACAGTGTGAAACTTTTCTCGGTGTACAGAAGTATCATTACATACATGAAAGAATTTCTAGCGAAGAGACTCAGAACTTACATGTGCGATCAGGGAGGTTTTTTTTTTTTTAATTAAATACATGAAAAGAGAAACCCTCTGAATGTGAGAACACATTGTGTGATGCCCACAGAGTGAGAAAATGTAGAAATTCATGAGTTAGTATAAATGCAGAACATGAGGACTCATTTTCACATCATGTTTCATAAAACGTGGAATGGCACTCTGGAGAAATTCATATCAGTGTTTGTTACATGGGAACACCTGTTTTCATTTTGTTGTGATTCATGTGTCCAACAGTATTGTGAGGCCGGGGCATATAGCTCAGTGGCATAAGCACCTGCCTGGCAAGTGCAAGGTCCTGAGTTCGATTCCCGGTACCAAAAAAAACCAGTATTGTCAGCAACCGTTAACATAAGGGTTGTACATCAGTTGTCCTACATGCAAGAGCGAATACTGAACCAGGCGTGGTGGCTCACACCTGTAATCCCAGCGTTCAGGAGGCTGAGGCAGGAGGATCGTTGTGATTTCCAGGTCCTCCTGGGCCCTAACTCAAAATTAAAAAGAATAAATGTGCACACATAATTCTGAAGCTTCTTGTAAGCAATAGCGTACTAGTTTAATGTTGTTTCTTCAAATACATAACTGCTTTATTTTGCAGTGTGTAATATCCAAAGGTGAAGTAACTTGCATTTCTTGTATGACAGTAGGCTCAGGATTTTGTAGGTTATTTTTGTTTCCTTTTTTCTTTTTCATTTTCCTTAACTGTTGCCATTTTTTCACTAGCTTCTATTTGAAACATTGCTGCACACAGTCTGTTACTCTAGCAAGAATTTTTTACTTGAATGTCATAGTTTATAATTTCTAGTAATTTCTGTAAGTGTTCTTAAGCGTGCATCTGTGTTCAAACAAGTAAATTAGCAAATAACTCTGTTTGTTTAAGACATGGTCTTACGGGGCAGTGCAGTCTGGCCTTGACCTCACTTTGTAGCCCAGACTGGCCTTGAACTCGCAACGATCCTCCTGCCTCAGCCTCCCCAGTACCGGGATGACAGGCGTGCACCACCACACCTGGCTTAGGTTTTTAATATTCTAAGAAGATGTCTTTACATATCCCAGCATAATTGCAGATTATATGCAGTGCATAATTTTCTGTTTTTTCTTTCTCAGAGGCATTAATGTGTGTATACAGTATTTGTTGTTTTTTATCATTAAATTTAACTTTTCATGCTCGTATTTCCATGCTTTATTTAGGAGATAATTTAATTCACCATCCAAAAAAAAAAAATCTGTATTTTTGTAAGTCCCCCAGTGTCATCGTCAGAGACCAAAAGAATCATATATTTTCTCAAGGAAGATACAATGCCTTGTAACTATTAACTCCTGCACCAGCTATAACTGTTGATGGGATGTGTCAGCAGGAACATTCTCAGGAATATTTGACCATGTTGATGTTTGGACTGGTTTCTAGTCTTCAAAATGAAGCATTTTTTTAATGTTGTGGATACCATTTGTGCTTTGGAAAGTGATTTTTTTTTAACCAGTGAAACTCAAATCAGTTATTAAAATAGAAATTGTGTAATTTTTGTGATTCATTTCTGTTCTCTTTTATCAACTTAAAGAGACGTGTGCAGTGGTTTTTGTCATCAGTAACTACCACTGTCTGATGATTGCAGGAAGTGATGTCACGTCCACTGCGTCAGACTTGAGCCGCTGTCTGTGAGACTGTCTACCTCCGTGCCTTATTTTGCCTTATTGGCCAGTACTGCAGTGCTTTGTGAAATACCGTGCCTTGTTCTGTCCTCCAGCTCAGGAGCTGCTCAGTTCCCCACGGGGTTGCGTTCCAGTAATGCATGGTCAGAGCGTCAGTGACACATGCAGTCAGCGGTCCTAACGCTCCGAACAGTGCACCTCATCCTAATCTAAGTTACTGATGCTTACACAATTAAGTTAGCCGCCAGGTGTGCAATATTTTACCAATTTTGTCTTACTTGTTTATTTTGCATTTTTCAAGACGGTCTCACCCTGTAGCCCAGGCTGGACTTGAACTCATGGCAACCCTCAGCTCCCAAGTGCAGATACTACAGGTGTTCACCACCACACCTGGCAAAAATGTATGTCTAGTTTATGATGAAATGTTTGTTTTTTTAGTCTTATGGTACCAGGAATCGAACTCACGACCTTGCGCTTGCCAAGCAGGCACTTTGCCGCTGAGCTAACTCTCCAGCCCCTAGGATGAAATATTAAATGTGTCATGTGGCTTAGGTACCGTACTACATTGCAGAATATGGTACCACCATGTACACGCCTAAGCCTGTGGCTAAATATATTGCGCCTTATTTTTAATTCTTACCATCGAAACATTGCACGGTGCATACTGCTGTTGCAGCTGGAGGGAAGGTGGGACTAGAGCTCATTTTATCCTGAGTGTATTGAATTCCTACCAGTTTAGGTTCCAAAACCTTGCTGGCACTGGCAGTTGTGTCTGTAATTCCGGCACTGGAGCGCAGGTGAATTGCGGGACTATAACAAGCCTGTGTGACTCAGAAGATGTTTAAGTAAAGGACGATGCTGCAGGTGAACCTCACTGCAGTAATGGTATGGGGGAAAGTCTCGTGTAATACCTGCCAGGCACCATGGCGCAGGCCTGTAATCCTAGCACATGGAAGGCTGAGGCAGGAGGATCTGAGAGATCTAGGCCAACATGGAGTAAACAGTTCAAGGACAGGCTGAATAGTCAGAGCCTATCTAAGCCACCCCTCAAAAACCAAACCAACACAAAACTGTTTTACTAAGCAACAGTAAGAGTGTGTGCTTACTTACTTTTTCAGTTTTGTGTTATGATTTCCTCAGTACTCGCATGACTGCAGAACTGTTACTGCCGTGTTTCATCACGGATTCTGTGCGCCCAAGATTTTCCTTTAATCTTAAGAGAAGGGGCTAAGGATTTAGCTCAGCGGCACTGCACCTGCCTGGCAAGCGCAAGGTGCTGAGTTCGATTCCTGGTACCGGAAAAAAAAAAACAAAAAAGAAAACAATCAAGAGAAAATCTAAGCACACAGAACAGTGGTCTTCACCAAAGCTGCAAAGCTCGTACTGTTTATTTCTCCCGTGGTGACGGGCACATGTTGCATGTGTGTCTGCCCCATGTCACAGACATGAAATTCACATGTGCGGTCATTAATGAAGGTACGCGTCTTAGAGCCGCTGAAACCAGCAGTGCTGCAGGTGATGGCGTGGCTCCCTCAGGCTGGGCGCGCAGTGTACGCTTGTGAATGTGCACCTCAGAAGAACGGAAGGAGTCCTCGTGGATAACCCACGCACGGCAGTCCCGGTCCTAAAGAAACAAGCACACCCTGGACACAAACCTTGTACACAGAAGGAAAGTGTGATGATCAAAAGAGGTAAAACTGAGGCTAATGACACAGCACACAATCCAGTGAGGAGATGCAGATTAATCCTTCGAGAAAAGGCAGAATTGGTGATTTTTTTTGTCTTTTTGAGGCGGGGTCTCTCTATGCAGTGCCGGCTGGCCTTGAGCTCACTTTGTAGCCCAGGCTGGTCTCGAACTTGCAACGATCGTCCTGCCTCAGCCTCCCGAGTGCTGGGATGACAGGCGTGTGCCACCACGCCTGCCCAATGTTGGTGATTTTTAAAAAGCTCTAGAGAGAAAGAGATATAGGTGGACCTACCCTCAACGTGGTAAAAGTTACTTAGGAAAAATTTCTTGGGAACATTACATTAAATGTATAAATACTGA